CCTCCCCTCTTGTTTAAAATTATTGCCTCGAGCGAACTGCGAGTAGTTTCGCTACGGGCTGCGATAATGCTCAAAAGTTTCCGCCACGCGAGCACAAGGCGAGCATCTATCGTTTTGGTTTTTGTATTTTCCCGCCCGCGCTCACCTTTGCTGGTCCGGCGCCGCCACGGCGGCGGGGTCCTGGTTGTCAGCCTCGGCCTCGACGGCGGCGTCCTGGTCCTCCATGATGATGGCGCTGCTCGGTCGCGCCCGTCAGTCCCTCTGGCCCTCTCTCGCTCTCTCCCCGCTGGACATCCCCGCCGACCATTGTTCTCGCTGTCGATTGTTGGCCGAAAATAATCCCTTGATTCTCTCTAGGAAGGATGATGAATGCCGGCGGGACCGGGCTCTGTTCCATTTTATCGGCGGAACGCGCGCGGCCCGCGGCGCCGTCCGTACCCGCACACGGGGTATTAAAAAGCAATATTTTTTCCACGAAAGTTCTGTCGTTTTCCTGTTATTTTTCCTCCCTTTGCAATGGTCGATGCGGATCCCCGGCCGGGCGGTGGCGGCCCGCCGAGCTGCGGCCGCCATTCCGACCCTTGACCCCGTCCTCCGCAAACTATAAAAACTTACCGCGGGTGGACTAAAAAAGTATATACATATTATAGTTTAGGTAGTCGCAAACAAACAAAGTTCTACACGATAGTTTCAACTGTAAATTAAGAAAAAAGCTACGTCGAGGGACGTATCGTGAAAGCAGATGATACAAATTTAAGGATATGTCTGTGCCTTAATTTTTTCTCATATTTTGCTGTTATTTGTTTATGGCTGTTTGTTACTTTTAGCAATTGCTTTCTTGCAATTCAACGGACTAGCGGCATGCCATAGAGAAAGAGATAGGGGGCATCAGGCCGGCCCGGCCGGCCGGCCGGCATCCGTGGCTCAGTATTGTTGGGTATTGTTGGGTATTGTTGGTGGGAACGGGCGGCGCCGGCGACTTCTCGCGCCCCTTATACATCTGGGTGACGTCATGCGCTTTGGTTCTCTGCCCTTATCGAGAGTACAAGCTAGCTGACACCTTAAAGTTACTTATATATTCTTTATGTTTAGTCAAAAGCTATTTAAGGTATCATCTGCTAAAAATAACAGACATTGAAAAGTCAAGTCAGGTGACCCTGCACCATGAGGCTCAATCGAAATTTGGGTTGATTCGCCCCGAA